AATTGTCTCCCTGGAGCCGAAACCGAGGATTCGATGCTCGGAACCATCGTCGAACAGGAGGAAATCTTCAAACAACTTCCGAATGGAGACTCAGCTGGAAACTAGTAGGAAGCGGGATCCGACAACAACTGAGGAAACACTGACTATCTGTTTTGGGGGACGTTCCGTCACGTATCACGTACGGATAGCGAGCCTCTCGACTTATATCATAGAAAGTGAATGTATTCGAGACTATCCCGGAAACGGATACCGATCGGCTACTGCTGCTCAGAATAATCCACACCGGTGGCTCACCGGGGCTCTAGCCAATCGCTGGAAAATGATACATACAGAACATAAAAACTCGAGTGCTAGTTTTTATTGCTTCTGAAGCACATCTCCGAACGAACAGTTTCCAAACACACCCACAGCTTTGGAACACAACTAAGGATGTCAGCGGTTCTAGAGCCGCGGTCCTGGAACCGCGAGAACCGCAGATTCTCTGCGGTTCTAGAACCGCAAGGCTCTCTGAGGAGATCTCCCCCGTCTCCCCTGAGGAGAACCGCGAACCGCGGTTCTCAAAATAAGCGGTTCTTTGACATGTCTAAACACAACACGACCGATAAGTCCCGCTCGTCGTACCTTCGTATATGAATGTCTCCTCTGAGGTCCCAGATAAGCACCACTGCGACAAGTCGCACAAGGGCCATTCAAGCTTCATCGAATGGCGGTCTCTACGTCACAGAAAATTGACCCGACGAGTAGTCGAGTTCCTTCTGAACGAATGAGTCTCGATCGAGTGTGGGCTCACTCCGCTCGGTAGGATTCTGGCTTTCTCAAATTCGGGTTCCCAGAAATTCCGGCTCTCATGAATTCGGGCTTCTACTGATTCGGGCTTTTACAATTCGGGCTCCCACGAATTCGGGCTCCCACAAATTCGGGCTGTCATAATTCTGGCCTCCACAATTCTGGCTTCCATAAATTCGGGCTTTCACAATTCGGGCTCTCACAATTCTGGCTCCCGAGGCAGAACCGTCAACAGGGGGATGTGTTCTCTCCGGCGCTTTTTTGTCTGGTAGTACAGAGCACCCTGGAATCACTCCAGAGTGAGCTTGCCGTGGCTTACGTCGATGACTTCACCATCTGCAGCCAAAACCAATTGTTGCATCGAGGGCTAAAGCTAGAAGACTCTACCGTACTGTATGGTATGGTATCTATTGATCCTCTCGAGCCTATATATTGTTGCGGAATAACGAAGGTGGTAGGAATGAACATTTTATTCTAGTATCGAGCAGCCTTTTATAGAAATATACGACAGCGCCAGTGGCGCCGTTCCAATCGGTCACGCTATCGGAACCGAACGCCCTCGTTCGAACGGACGGAGATCCTTTGCATTGATATTCCGCGAACGGCCAGACGGATCCCGCACTGCATAGGTCGCCTGAGCGATTTTCCGCTGCACCCTCCAAGGACCCACGAATCGCGGATGGAGCTTCTTGGAAAGGCCACGACGGACCCGGGTTATTCGAACCAATACTTCTTGACCATCATGGAAGGAAGCAGGTTTAACCCTCAACGCATCGAAACGATTCTTCATCCGATCTTGAGCTACCGACAGGTTCCGATGACCCTCGTGACGCACTTGTCTTGCTGAACGGAAAAGTCTTTCTTCCCGTGGGGGCTCACCAGGCAAAACTGCGGGAAACCCGAATAACATTTCGAAAGGAGTTTCCCGAAGCGATTCACTTATAGTCGTATGCATCGAGAACGCTATCTTCGGAATCACATCTCGGACCGCCGTGTGACCCTCAAGCACGAGGGCAGACAGGCGATCCGTCACGGTTCGCACGCTCCTCTCGGCGAGACCGTTACACTGGGGGTGGCCCACTGACGTACGAATGTGTGAGGTACCAACCCTCTGTAGGTAATCAGCTAAGACGGAGCCACGGAAGCACGTCGCATTGTCAGTAACAATCGTACCTAGATGCCCAACCGAATCACTTATAGTTTGGAGGGATCGCACGACGAAGGGAGCCGAAATCCGTCCACTCGCGAACAAATGAACGTGGCGTGTACAGTAGTCGACCACCACCAACACATACACCGGCCGATTCCCCGGAACGTTGAAAGGGCCCGCAAAGTCCAGTCCCACTTTCTCGAAAGGTCTTGCGGGTGGTGCGACTGGTTGCAGATCGCCCACCTTTTGTGAGGGTGCTTTGCACTGTTGACAAACCACACAGGCTTTAACGTACTGCCGCACTCGACGATGTAGCCCCCTACCAAGATCGAAGCGCTCCCGAACACGACGTTCAGTTCCACGGATTCCCGGATGCCCTGCCATACCGTCCTCATGGCATAATTTGATGACTTCTTCACTTAATGAAGCCGGAATACACAGTCGACCACGCCGATAAAGCAAACCATTTCGAGCGGTATATTCACTCGACGGGTTATCCGTAGTCCGAACCCGCTCTAAAATCCGCTGGAAATGTTGGTTGTTGTTTTGTTCCCGTTGGAGATACTCGAGCTGAATCGGCGCGATGGTTAGACGGGACAACGCGTCTGCGTTCCCATTATCCTTTCCTTTTCTGTGTACCACTTCGAAATCATAGTCCTGGATGGCCAAAGCCCATCTGATGAGCTTAGGAGACAAATTGGCTTTGCTTCTGAGGTACTTCAGAGAAATACTGTCGGTGACCACTTTGAAACGGCGTCCATACAAATAAGGGTGGAATTTCTGAATAGCCCAGACAACGGCCAAACATTCAGTCTCCGAAGAATGACACTTAGCCTCTGCTTTGGTCAAGCGTCGGCTAGCGTAAGCCACCACTCTCTCTTTGCCTTCGAAAATCTGTACCAGAACCGCCCCGAGTCCAGTTCCACTAGCGTCGGTTTGAAGCCTCGTTTCCAAACCATCTTGAAAATGACAGAGAACCGGTTCCTTCGTTATGCGATTTTTGATTTCCTGGAAGACCCTCTGGAGGACCTCTTCCCACTTGAATGAGCCTTTACTAAAAAGATCATAGAGAGGCGATGCGACACTCGCGAAGTCTTTGATGAATCGCCGGTAATAGGATGCAAGACCCAAGAAACTTCTCAGTTCTTTGATATTGGAGGGTGCACGCAGATTAGTCACAGCTGCAACTTTTTCTGAGTCGGGAGCGATTCCTCGCGACGTGACCTTATGCCCGAGATACGTCACTTCGGTCGCCGCGAACATGCATTTTTTTGCTTTCAGCTTAAGTCCAGCCTTTTGAATCGACGTTAGAACTTGTCTTAAATCAGCGAGATGACTGTCGAAATCTTTCGAATAGATAATTATATCATCCAGGTAGACCAATGCCATTTTGTACTTCAAAGCACCGATAACTCTGTCCATCAAGCTACGTTATTGGGGGTGTATCCCCTGTGGGTATCGAATGTTGAGTCAATTTCGTGCTCGACAATCGGTTTGGTTGTCCGAAGAGGTCAGCGAAGTCCTCCAAGAGTAACGTCTTTACTCTTTGCGTTTGTTGTGGTGTGAGGTCATCTCCGAGTCGTAACTCAGATGTCAAGCGGGTTCGAGTTTTCCCTTCTTCGTGAACCTCCGTGGGTACTTCCACTTTATCCGGGAAATGGACTCTCCCTAACGATCGTCCTTCTTTGAGATATATTGGAGAATCCTCCAGATTAACCACCAAAACTTCACATGATCCGTCTTCTCTCGAATCAACCAGACTGTATGGTGTGATGAATCGACTGTTCGGACCACAATTCAGAATACTATCGGTTTGTAACGTATTCGACGGTATTCCTGTAGTGACCGTGACATACATTGCGTTTCTAGGTGGTATTAACGTACCCCCTTTAACTCGGCAGGAAATATT